CAAAACTCCTTGTGTATCACTTTCTCGTATGACCGACAATGTTCTTTAGTAACAACGAGTTTTCTTTGGTAACCCACAAGGTTCTTGGGTGATCCTTAAAGTTCTTGGGTTACCCATAGATCTATAATGTTGTAGGATCATTCAAAATGTAAACAGGTAATTCACTTTTATTTTCAGTCTCTTGGGTCATCAACAAGTATTTTGAATGATCCATAGTGTTATTAGAAAATCGATTATTTTTTGTTTCTTAGGTCATCGACAAGTATTTTGAATGATCCATAGTGTTATTAGAAAATTGATTATTTTTTTGTTTCTTAGGTCATCGACAAGTATTTTGAATGATCCATAGTGTTATTAGAAAATTGATTATTTTTAGTTCTTGGGTCATGGACAAGTATTTTGAATGATCCATAGTGTTTTTAGAAAATTGATTGTGATCATGATAAATCACTTTCTCAGGTGATCCACAATAGACTAAGGTCTTGATCTAGGAATTTGATGTTTGTTATCAAGGTCACCAGAAAATAAAGTTTGAATAATATAAATTTGAGGATTCAGATTAAAGAAAAAATCCAGAGTATTGAATATAATGTTAGAGATTTTGCAAAGCATGTTTGTTGCATATAGGTATTTCATTAATGTATTTCTGAGTTATCTGTTTTATCACAATATATCCTCAAGGTAAATAAAAGATTAGACAGAAAATTATTGCATGAACAAATGATTTGCTAAGTGTTTGTAATTGATTCCATCCTAGCAAATTTGATTTGGAAATGATTAATCTACAGGGGTCACCTTGAGGATATCTACGATCTGAGCTGGTCATCAGATGGCAAGTACATGATTTCTGGATCAGTGGACAACAGTGCTATTCTCTGGGATCTTGTGAAAGGTGAGCATGTGACATTGAAGCGACCTTGTCATAGCATTACTATTAAGGACGTAGTAACAGGTAGATTATGAATTTTCAAGATTTCTTATAAGGGCTGTCGCAATATATCGGAAAACAGGTATATCATATCATACCACATTACAGAGATGAAATATTGCTGTATCGCTGTATTTTTCAAAAGCATGTTTTTATGTATCTGCTTGGTGTTTTAACTTTGCAAATTACTACAAATATTCTAACAGATATGCCGATAAGTTTAAAGCAGGCTTTTAATGGTTCAAATTTTGTAATCGATTGTTGGTCTGACAAAAATCTTAAATCTATGTAATCCATATTATATATGATTGAGTTTGATAACATTCTGACAACAACGTATAATAAAATTCAGCACATCTTCCCTATGACAATATATCGGGATACACATCGCAATATATTCATTCTGTATTGCAATTTGTTGTGATACACTTTTGGTGTATTGCC